ACCACTGAAGGTCCAGGGTCTTCTAATTGTACTGTCTCCACAGGAACACTACCTACATCTAATGGTTCTGAGGATGATGACTGTGGTTTACCCGATGCTGATACACCCTCGGTGCCTGAAAAAAGATGAAAACAGAATAGCTTTCCTTATGGACAATTTCAAACATTAACTCACTGGAATTGAGAAGCACTTTGAATTTAGGAGCAAACTTAATTTTCAGAATGCTTGGAGTGGCTGCCATGATCATGCTAAGAAATCAATATTTTCTTACAAAATCAGCAGAAAATATTTTAAGGTTCCATTTTCAATTTGTTTTTACTCTTCTGAAAAGATATTTTTTACAATCATTACTAAAACATTTCTGAAAGACACAAGTAATGATTAGCCCTTTTTTTTTAAATTAACATATTCATCAGTTTTTTTTTTTGGCTTCTAACAATCATTCTCTTTTATAAATGCCACTTTTACATATTTCAATGTAAATATGTCATTTTTTATTAACTTCATCCTCCCTTCTTTCAAAATGAACAAATTGATTTAGAAATGTTCAATTAAATAAATAATAAATCCAATAAATTTTTGTTCTTCTCTAAAACGTTTATAACCTTGCTAATTAGACAAAGGTGTGTGCGGTACCAACCAGTTTTCCCTTCCAAAAGATAAAAAGAACAATACTGTTGCTGCTGCAGAACATTAGAATGGAAGTCAAGAAATAATAACCGACCAATTCTCATCTTTCTTCAATTTTGGCAATAGCAACAATGAGGAGAAAAATGAGCAAAGGAAGCGATTCTTCCCTTGAGACTTTCTAATGTTGGACAAATTTCAATAATGAAGAAAGGAAATTTTCTGAATTTTTAAAAGAACACAGAATTGTTAAAAATGTTTAATTCCATATGTTCATTACACATTCAATTTAGGGACCTGATTTAGTTGAAGCAAACAAAGTTGACTAATAAAGAAGATAATCTTGAAAGTTGCTCAACCCAAATCTGAGCAGATTGACCCTAAAATGAAATGACTATATAGGATACAAATCCTATATCATTCCAACAAATGACTAAAAAACACCAAGTAGATTTGCACACCTGCAAAATCGGATCAAAACGATTAAAAACAGATTTCGCAATAAGGTGTGAAATTAATTTTCTGACCAATGAAAGGAGGCGATTTGCTAAACCAAAAAAAAGATAACGAGCCAGTGTGAAAAAAAAGTCAACAATAAATACAGAGTTTCAAGTCAGTCGCCAGTCAGAAGGGTGCAGAGATCAGAGAAGACTGACAGTAAATTCCATCACTGACTCAACCCAACACTAAGAGCCGAAAGTGGAGTAGGAAAGAACAACAACAACAACAAATTTACAACTGACTCCTAAGTACATTTTCCTCTTATCTTTTATTTCTCATCCACACTCTCTTTTTTCAACTTAAATTGATCGCCCCTTTTTCATTTGCAACTATACAAAAACAAAAAGAAACAGACATCGCTCTGCTACTCTGTTAAAAGACAGCGAACACAGACATTTTTATCAAAATCACATTTTGCTTAAACGAACTAAAGCATTAATCTTTTTTTACCCTATTCACAAGATAATAAATATACAATGTTCTATATTCGACAAACGTTCCTTATCATGTTGTTTCTTCTTGGAATTTGCGTTGTATTTTGTGGGCAGGGTATCCCGTATTAAATTCTCCTTTTAATCCGGGTACGCTGACCCCTACACCTAAAAATTAGAGACAGCTATTTAATAATGTGAAGTGCCCCTACCTTTGAGTGAATAACAGCATGATATTGACACAGCATAGAATCCATGGAGTACTTGAGTCATTGCATCTTCTGAGTTTGTCTTTTGTGTATGTTGAGTATAGTTGCAGGGAATTTAGGTGGGATCTACAACTTATGTTCTATATTCAGGGTTGGTGTATACTAACCTCAAACCCTCCCACTAGGGAGGTGAGTCTGAATGGGGGGGAAGGGGGTTCTGACAGTGATTTTGTGACCATTATTATGTTGTCAACATTTGCTTTTTTCTACCTACATTTATATACATTAAAATTAAACTAAGCACAATTGATTATTAAAGGATGACAAAATTTAGATGATTTTGGTGTCATTCTGGAGTCTTTTTTTTTCTTTGTCCAAATATGTAAACTTGTTTTGCTCATAGTAAATCTAAAATAAAACCCTATATAAAATTCATTATTTTTTATCCATAATGTTGAATGTGTTAAAATTATTTATCTTTTTAAGAAGAAAAATCTCAAGTTGATGTAAAAAATTTCTGCAAAGCATTGATTTATTTAAAATGGAATGATATATATTATGATATGCCTCTAATTTGTATTTAGATACATTGGATTTATTTTCAATTTTTCTAGTTGAATTCTTCATCTATATTACATATGATCCATTATTGTACATAATTAGGTTACAATAAAATGTGCATTTTATATGAATACTGCCTTATGAAAACTGAGATGTAATATAGTGGGTGGGGGTGGGGGCTGTATCATAGATTCAGAAGTGGGGGCCCACAAGACACTTGCATCAGCCCTGCCTATGTTTAATGAAATTTAAATGCTGACAAGCACAGTGGCCAGTGGGGTACCTTTAAGGAAGTCAAGTCTTCTTGGAACCAATTTCATGTCACTTGTGCATTTTGGGTGATTATATTATCTTCCTGGAACAAGGAAATATGGCAAGAATAAGCAAATGGTTTGTAACCAGATCTGGGGGATGTCACATCAGTCAAGAGAGACTTTCACTCGTGAACACTGCAAACTCCAACAGAACAATGCCCTCCTCAAATACATTACAGAACTACAATTAATAACAGTATGATGCCAGGCATGACCCATTGCCTCATATGCGGTCTCCTTCACTGATATGTACCAGAAAGGGATATATTTGATCGAAGTAGCTAAGTGGTTTAGGCTACTGTAACCGAGTAGAACAATCTAGCAGGTAGCAGTAATGGAACTGGTACTTGTTGTAGTCACAGTCAATAGGCGTAGACCAATAGGATAGCCAATGGCGTAGTCCAATGGGTGTCATTCTGTACCTCTACATCATCCTGTATTTATGGCTGACACCAGCCAATCATATTTCTGTGAGGAGGAACACAGGTGTATGCATATTCATTACATCATTCATGTGACCATCTGTTTGAAAAAGTTCAAAATGTGATGTGTCCAAACAGGCAACATTGTATCACACTTCCACAGTCGAATGATGATGTTCCCTGGACCAGGTGAGGCAAAATAACTGACACTACAGTGTCAATAATGTTAACCTTGCTGGTTGACAAATAGGAAACCACAAAGACTACAGAGTGACACCAGGCACACTGAATTGGGAGGGGGGATTTCATGCAATGTTGGCTTTTTAAGTGGTTATGATCATTGTCAGTTGCCAGCAAATCTCATTCTTGTGCCAGGAGATTCACACACTGTGCTTTCTTGGCCTCGCATTTACCATTGACTTGAAGTGGAGTTACTACATCAAATCAATAGCTGCATCTACTGCAAGGAAGTTGGATCATAGTGTTGTGCCAAAAGATTTTTTTTTGTCAGAATCCATTTTGCACATTTACAAATCCACAATTAGTCTGTGAATGGAATACTACTGTTATATCTGGTCTGGTGTTCCTCATATACATTTCAAAACTCTTGACGAAATCCAAAGCAGGATCTGCAATGTAATCAATTCTGACTTGGCATTTTGACTTCAGTCACTTCCTCGCTGAGATGATGTGGCTTCCTGCTCTCTTTTCTACAGATATTTTCATGGCAGCTGTTCTGGCAAGTTTTTTTTCCTGGAGCCCGACAACATGAATTTAAGTGTGCTACTAGATTGGCCTCTAGGTCCCACCACTTTACTGTTGAATTAGTTAAATGTAACTGCCCCTTTTACTCTAACAGTTTCTTTTCATACACTTCTCGCCCGTGGAACCCCCGTCTGTTTACTTACTTCCCTGATAACTACAATCTTCAAAAACTTATATGTAACATCAATCGCCATCTTCTATCTTCTTGAATCCCATTCATCTTTTGTCCTTTCCTCAATCCTCCCTATACTCAGTCTTTTCTCTTTCATTCTCTGTAATTCCCTGCGTACTAGTAGGATTCCCGACTTGCTTGGGATGAAATGATTAAAAAAACATTACTTAGGTGGGTACATGTCAATTCCACACACTGCTGATGCCTGTCTAGAATTGCATATCCCCAGTACAACATCATTATTTGCATATCATACATGCTTTTTTGTTTCCGATTTTGAAGCCCAAACATTAGAAATGTGTATTACATATGCAAACTAAATATGAACTTTTTCTGTTCATTTGCCTCACCATATTCAAGATGGTATAACCAAAAGTAAGTTATATCTCTCATCCAAACTAATTAATATACAAAAAAGAATTTAAATCCTTAACCAAACACTTCATCTTGTTATTTTTTCTGTAATTGCATTTCAAGAATAAGTTTGCTGTGTTCATCTGAAGAATGTTCTACCAGGCTTCCAACATCCATACAACAGAATAGTGGAGTCTCTGCTAATTCATCCTGTCCGAGGGAGTAACTTGTGCACCTGTGTCGGCCACGGTTTTCACTTGCTGTGAACAAACAACTTAAATGACTTGTTGAGCCTGATGTCAAGTGATTGAAGAAAACTGGTTACAAGATTGATTTTTCATCAATTACAATTTCTGATTCTTATCAATCTATCAATGGCATTTGAATATGTCAAGGATGTATAAGCATTGGTCATTTCAGCAACTTGCCTGGACGTTTTGCCTCCACTATTTCAATCCAGTAACATATCATATCTGAATCAAACGACGCTCATACCACCTTCTTCATGGACAGGCACTCTTATTCCTTTTGGAAGTGTCTTCCTTGGCTCAATCATCCCTCCTTCTTAAAAACAACATATATGGTCACAGTTTTTTTCTGTTACCAGTAACAGCTAAAACCAGGGTGGGTGGGTTTTTCTCATGATGAGTAGTCTTGATGCCAACAGTCTTCTAGCCCTTGAAATCCACTCCCTGGGTGTAGGCAAGGTAAAAGTTCAGTGGAGTTTGAACTGCATTTCCAATCTTTGATAGGTTATATGAGGTATCATGGAGAAATTTAAATTATGAGATGATTATTTATTTTAGAAAATATTCTAAATTTTATATATATATAAAATGTATATGTATAAAATGTGTGTATATATATATATATATATATATATATATACTCTCACAAATACTCCACTTGGAATTTCAGTTATGCTAGTACTGATAACACCTCTGGAATACGATGGAGCTCCACTGTCAATTTTCTTATAATTTCCTCTTGTAACTCAAACTGCTTCCATTTTGGTGTGATTTTCAGATTGGGATTTGGGAAGTCACATGATGCCAAGTTGGGAGAGTAGAGAGCCTGTCAAAACAAGTAGTGTGTTGTTCTTGACCAGGAAAGCTTGAATTATATGAGGGTGACTGTGCAAGCAAATATCGCCTACACTATTCCTCTATTAAAAGGTAATCCACTGATCCTGTGCTTATTGCCTCTGTGTGAGCAATTTCCTGGATTGTTACATGATAGTCTTCCATGACTATTTGCCGAACCTTCTCAAGTACTCCTTTCAGCTTGTAGATGGCTTAACCAAGTGTGCTTCACTATCCATTGAGGTGCAGCAATGTTTGAAGTGGTTGTACCACTACTTGACTTATCTGAGTTTTGCCCATGGCCTCATTGCCAGAGGCCTACTGAATCTTCTGGCCTACTGAATCTTCTGGAGGTTTGAATTTGTGTATCATTGACCTTTTGGCAAAATCTGATGCAATATTGATGTGTTAAGTCATCTTGTGTGAAAATGAAAATCCAACGGGTGCGCACTACACAACTATACTCTAGTCATAACAGCTGGGAATTAACTTAGCCTACTGGTGCAAATATTTCCCTGCATGCACAGGAAGGGTGTTGTCACCTCCCACTCAATGCTCAAAGGATATTGTCCACATGGCATTAGTTTTGGAAAAAATAAAGTTGGATATATTTTGAATGCACCTCATATATTGATAGATAGTGACATCCTGCCGATTTACACCAGTTTATGTGAACCAGTTCTTAAAATTATAAAATCTTAGTGAATCGGTTGTTGGATTATCCAAAAATAATCTTATGTATTAATAGCCCAATATATAATAGCTAAAAATATAATTAATACCGTTGCTGTAAGTTCTGTGGAAGTTGAAAGAGGGTTTTCTGTGATGACAAAAGAAATCATCTTATCTTAAAAATGTAGCAAATCTTCTAGTCATAAATTTGATAGGTCTTCCATTGGATCTTTGGGACTGCAACGATTCAGTTTGAATGTAGCTACGAAACCATAACACGGCTGATGACACTAGAGTCAAAAAGCATCAGACTTCTGAACAGAAATGTGAAGAGAAGAGAATTTCAATCTGGAAATATTTTAAATGTTTTCTATTAAATTATCAAAATATCAATATAAATTTACATATATTTATGCAAAACTACTTACAGGAGGTCAGCTCAGAGTTTCACAGTTTCTCACTTCTCAGGATCCAGACAAGAATGATTGCAACCATTGATAATTCTGTCATAATTGATGTAATTATTCTAATGTTTATGTCCTGAGAAGCAAGAAATCATGAAACTCAGAGTTGATCTCTGATAAGTATCATGAATGTTGACTATTTTTTATACATCGATCATTGCTCTAAATAGCAAGAAAGCACTTTATTGGAATTTTGTTAGCCTTGGCATACATTGAATTATATAATTTTATATGTATTAGTAGGTATCACTACTATTATTTTATTATTGTTATTATATTTATTTATATATAATTATATATATCACTGTGGAAATTACAAAGGGGTTTTGAAATATTCTTGTCTTGACAATGAAATCCTTTTTAAGAAAAGAAATCTGATGTGTGATCATTTGGACTGATTTTTTGAAATTTCAGAAGAATCTTATGGGATGTTTTCAACAACTCCTTTTGTACAGACAAGTGCTTCATATTCATATTTAATAATTAAGTATCATATTATCTGTTTACTTTCAGGCACAAAATGTATATTACACATTAACAGCAACTTTTGTTGAAAAATTTCTATCCCAAACACTTAACATTTCTTGCTTTCTTAGTAATTTCATTATTTTTCATTCATTTGCACTTTAACTTACTTCCTTTCCCATTTCTTTACTATTTAAATTAATTCTTTTCTTTCTCAATAATGTTCTTTTCTTTTTTTTAAATTGAATTTAACCATTTTCTACATTTCTCAATCACTTATATTTTTTTCCTCATTTTATTTTTCATTCTTTCTCAATTTAATTCTTTCACATCCTTCATTTCTCAGACATTTTATTTTTCATTCTTTCTCTTTTAATTCTTTCTCTTTCTTCATTTCTCAGACATTTTCTTTTTCATTCTTTCTCTTTTAATTCTTTCTCTTTCTTCATTTCTCAGACAATTTCTTTTCATTCTTTTTCATTTAATTCTTTTCCCTTTTCTTCATTTTCTCAGATATTTTCTTTTTTCATTCTTTTCTCTTTTAATTCTTTTCTCTTTCTTCATTTCTCAGACATTTTATTTTTTTCATTCTTTCTCATTTAATTCTTTCTCTTTTTTCATTTCTCAGACAATTTCTTTTTCATTCTTTTCTCTTTTTAATTCCTTCTCTTTTCTTCATTTCTCAGACAATTTCTTTTTTCATTCTTTTCATTTTAATTCTTTTCTTTCTTCATTTCTCAGACATTTTTTTTTTCATTCTTTTTCATTTAATTCTTTCTCTTCCTTCATTTATCAGACATTTTATTTTTCATTCTTTTTCATTTAATTCTTTCTCTTTTCTTTTTCATTTTATCAGACATTTTCATTTTTTTCTTTTCTTTTTCATTTAATTCTTTCTCTTTCTTCATTTCTCAGACATTTTATTTTTCATTCTTTCTCATTTAATTTTCTTTCTTCATTTCTCAGACATTTCTTTTTTCATTCTTTTTCATTTAATTCTTTTCTTCCTTCATTTCTCAGACATTTTATTTTTTCAATCTTTTTCATTTAATTTTTCTCTTTCTTCATTTATCATTTTTTTCTTTTTCATTCTTTTTTCATTTAATTCTTTTCTCTTTCTTCATTTCTCGGACATTTTCTTTTTCATTCTTTTTTTTTTAATTTCTTTCTCTTTCTTCATTTTCTCAGACATTTTCTTTTTCATTCTTTCTCTTTTAATTCTTTCTCTTTCTTTCATTTCTCAGACATTTTCTTTTCATTCCTTCTCTTTTAATTCTTTCTTTTTTCATTTTCTCAGACATTTTCTTTTCATTCTTTTCTCTTTTAATTCTTTCTCTTTCTTCATTTCTCAGACATTTTATTTTTCATTCTTTCTCTTTTAATTCTTTCTCTTTCTTCATTTCTCAGACATTTTATTTTTCATTCTTTCTCTTTTAATTCTTTCTCTTTCTTCATTTATCAGACATTTTATTTTTCATTCTTTTTCATTTAATTCTTTCTCTTTCTTCATTTCTCAGACATTTTCTTTTTCATTCTTTTTCATTTAATTCTTTCTCTTTCTTCATTTCTCAGATATTTTCTTTTTCATTCTTTCTCTTTTAATTCTTTCTCTTTCTTCATTTCTCAGACATTTTCTTTTTCATTCTTTCTCTTTTAATTCTTTCTCTTTCTTCATTTCTCAGACATTTTCTTTTTCATTCTTTCTCTTTTAATTCTTTCTCTTTCTTCATTTCTCAGACATTTTATTTTTCATTCTTTCTCATTTAATTCTTTCTCTTTCTTCATTTCTCAGACATTTTATTTTTCATTCTTTCTCATTTAATTCTTTCTGTTTCTTCATTTCTCAGACATTTTCTTTTTCATTCTTTCTTTTTTAATTCTTTCTCTTTCTTCATTTCTCAGACATTTTCTTTTTCATTCTTTTTTTTTTAATTTTTCTCTTTCTTCATTTCTCAGACATTTTATTTTCATTCTTTCTCTTTTAATTCTTTTCTCTTTCTTTCATTTTCTCAGACATTTTATTTTTCATTCTTTTTTCATTTAATTCTTTCTTTTTTCTTCATTTTTCAGACATTTTATTTTTTCATTCTTTTTTCATTTAATTCTTTTCTCTTTCTTCATTTTATCAGACATTTTATTTTTCATTATTTTTTCATTTAATTCTTTCTCTTCCTTCATTTCTCAGACATTTATTTTTCATTCTTTTTCATTTAATTCTTTCTCTTCCTTCATTTCTCAGACATTTACTTTTTCATTCTTTCTCTTTCTTCATTTCTCAGACATTTTCTTTTCATTCTTTTTTAATTCTTTCTCTTTTCTTCATTTTCTCAGACATTTTTTTTTCATTCTTTTCTCTTTTAATTCTTTCTCTTTCTTCATTTCTCAGACAATTTCTTTTTCATTCTTTTTCATTTAATTCTTTCCCTTTCTTCATTTCTCAGATATTTTCTTTTTCATTCTTTCTCTTTTAATTCTTTCTCTTTCTTCATTTCTCAGACATTTTATTTTTCATTCTTTCTCATTTAATTCTTTCTCTTCCTTCATTTCTCAGACAATTTCTTTTTCATTCTTTCTCTTTTAATTCCTTCTCTTTCTTCATTTCTCAGACAATTTCTTTTTCATTCTTTTTCATTTAATTCTTTCTCTTTCTTCATTTCTCAGACATTTTCTTTTTCATTCTTTTTCATTTAATTCTTTCTCTTTCTTCATTTTTCACATTTTCTTTTCATTCTTTCTCTTTTAATTCTTTCTCTTTCTTCATTTCTCAGACATTTTCTTTTCATTCTTTTCTCTTTTAATTCTTTTCTCTTTCTTTTTTTCTCAGACATTTTCTTTTTCATTCTTTTCTTTTTAATTTTTCTCTTTCTTAATTCTTTCTCTTTTAATTCTTTCTCTTTCTTCATTTTCTCAGACATTTTCTTTTCATTCTTTTTCTCTTTTTTTCTCTTTCTTCATTTCTCAGAATTTTCTTTTTTTTTTTCTTTCTAACATCTTTCTTCATTTCTCAGACATTTTTTTTTTTTTCTTTTTCTTTAATTCTTTTCTTTCTTCATTTATCAGACATTTTATTTTTCATTCTTTTTCATTTAATTCTTTCTCTTTCTTCATTTCTCAGACTTTTTAATTTTTTCTTTCTTCCTTTCTCAGATATTTTCTTTTTCATTCTTTCTTTTAATTCTTTCTCTTTTTCATTTTCAGACATTTTCTTTTTTCATTCTTTCTCTTTTAATTTTTTTCTTTCTTCATTTCTCAGACATTTTCTTTTTCATTCTTTCTTTTAATTCTTTCTCTTTCTTTCTTCATTTCTCAGACATTTTATTTTTCATTCTTTCATTTAATTCTTTTCTTTCTTCATTTCTCAGACATTTTTTTTTTCATTTTTTCTTTCTTTTTTTTTTTTTCTTTTCAGAATTTTTCTTTCTCTTTCTTTTTCTTTCTTCATTTCTCAGACATTTTCTTTTTCATTCTTTTCTTTTAATTTTTTCTTTCTTTCATTTCTTTTTTTATTTTCATTCTTTTTCTTTTTCTTTCTCTTTCTTCATTTTCTTTTTTTTTTCATTCTTTCTCATTTAATTTTTTCTTTCTTCATTTCTTTTCATTTTATTTTTTCTTTCTCATTTAATTTTTTCTGTTTCTTCATTTCTCAGACATTTCTTTTTTCATTCTTTTTTTTTTATTTCTTTTCTCTTTCTTCATTTTTCTCAGACATTTTCTTTTCATTTTTTCTTTTTTAATTCTTTTCTTTCTTCATTTCTCAGACATTTTATTTTTCATTCTTTTCTTTTTATTCTTTCTCTTTCTTCATTTCTGTGACATTTTATTTTTCATTCTTTTTCATTTAATTCTTTCTCTTTCTTCATTTCAGACATTTTATTTTTTCATTCTTTTTCTTTTAATTCTTTTCTTTTTCTTCATTTATCAGACTTTTATTTTTCATTCTTTCATTTAATTTTTTCTCTTCCTTCATTTCTCAGACATTTTTTTTTTCATTCTTTTTCATTTAATTTTTCTCTTCCTTCATTTCTCAGACATTTTATTTTTCATTTTTTCATTTAATTTTTCTCTTCCTTCATTTCTCAGACATTTTACTTTTTTTCTTTCTTTCTTCATTTCTCAGACATTTTTTTTTCATTTTTCACTTTTAATTCTTTTCTTTCTTCATTTCTCAGACATTTTCTTTTTCATTTTTTTTAATTTTTTTCTCTTTCTTCATTTCTCAGACATTTTATTTTCATTCTTTCTCATTTAATTTTTCTCTTTTTTATTTCTCCAGACATTTTATTTTTCATTTTTTTCTTTTCTCATCACATTTTCTTTTTTTTTTTTCTCTTTTTTTTCTTTTCTTTTCTTCATTTCTCAGATATTTTCTTTTTCATTCTTTTCTCAGATTTCTCAGACATTTTATTTTTTCATTGTTTCTCTTTTAATTCTTTCTCTTTTCTTCATTTCTCAGACATTTTCTTTTTTTTTCTTTTCTTTTTTTTCTTTTCTTTTTCTTCATTTCTCAGACATTTTATTTTCATTCTTTTTCATTTCTTTCATTTTTCATTTTTTTTTATTTTCTTTTTTCATTCTTTTAATTCTTTTTCTCTTCCTTCATTTCTCAGACATTTTCTTTTATTCTTTTTTTTTAATTTTTTTCTTTTTCATTTCTTTTTCTTTTCATTCTTTTTGTTTTTCTTTTTTCATTTCAGACATTTTATTTTTCATTCTTTTCATTTAATTCTTTCTCTTCTTCATTTATCAGACATTTTATTTTTCATTTTTCTTTTTAATTCTTTCTCTTTTTCATTTCTCAGACATTTTCTTTTCATTCTTTTCTTTTAATTTTTCTTTTCTTCATTTCTCAGATTTTATTTTTCATTTTTCTCATTTAATTTTTTCTCTTTTCTTCATTTCTCAGACATTTTATTTTCATTCTTTCTCTTTCTTCATTTTTCAGACATTTTCTTTTTTATTTTTCTCTTTTAATTCTTTTCTTTTTCATTTCTCAGATTTTTTTTTTTTTTCATTTTCCTTTTAATTTTTCTCTTTCTTCATTTCTCAGACATTTATTTTTCATTCTTTTTCATTTAATTCTTTTCTTTTCTTCATTTATCAGACATTTTATTTTTCATTCTTTTTTCATTTAATTCATTTCTCTTCCTTCATTTTCAGACATTTTTTTTTTCATTCTTTAGTTTTTAATTCTTTTCTTCCTTCATTTCTTTCTTTTTTTCTTTTTTTCTTTTTCTTTTCTTCATTTTCAGACATTTTCTTTTTTTTTCTTTTAATTCTTTTCTCTTTCTTCATTTTTTTTATTTTTCATTATTTTTTCTCATTTAATTTTTTCTCTTTCTTCATTTCTCAGACATTTCTTTTTTCATTCTTTTTCTTTTCTTTCTTTTTCTTCATTTCTCAGACATTTTTTTTTCATTCTTTTCTTTTAATTCTTTTCTCTTTCTTCATTTTTCAGACATTTTATTTTTCATTTTTCTCTTTTAATTCTTTCTTCATTTATCAGACATTTTATTTTTTCATTCTTTCATTTATTTTTTTCTCTTTCTTCATTTCTCAGACATTTTCTTTTTTCATTTCTTTCTCATTTAATTCTTTCTCTTTCTTCATTTCTCAGACATTTTTTTTTCATTCATTCTTTTCTTTTTAATTCTTTCTCTTTCTTCATTTCTCAGACATTTTTCTTTTTCATTCTTTCTCTTTTAATTCTTTCTCTTTCTTTCAGACATTTTCTTTTTCATTCTTTCTCATTTAATTCTTTTCTCTTTCTTCATTTCTCAGACATTTTATTTTTTCATTCTTTCTTTTTAATTCTTTCTCTTTCTTCATTTCTCAGACATTTTATTTTTTCATTTTTCTCATTTTCATTTTCTCAGACATTTTTTTTTTTCTTTTCTCTTTTCTTCATTTCTCAGACATTTTCTTTTTCATTCTTTCTCTTTTTAATTTTTTCTTTTCATTTTCTCAGACATTTTTCTTTTTCATTCTTTCTCTTTTAATTTTTTCTTTCTTCATTTTTCAGACATTTTATTTTTTTTCATTCTTTCTCATTTAATTCTTTTTTTTCTTTCTTCATTTCTCAGACATTTTTTTTTCATTCTTTCTCTTTTAATTTTTTCTTTCTTATTTTCAGACATTTTTCTTTTTTTCATTCTTTCTCTTTTCATTTTTCTCAGACATTTTCTTTTTTTTCATTTTTTCTTTTAATTCTTTTTTCTTTCTTCATTTCTCAGACATTTTATTTTTCATTCTTTCTTTTTTTTAATTCTTTCTCTTTCTTCATTTAGACATTTTTTTTCATTCTTTTTTCATTTTAATTCTTTCTTTTCTTCATTTCTCAGACATTTTATTTTTCATTTCTTTCTCATTTAATTCTTTTCTTTTTCTTCATTTTCAGACATTTTCTTTTCATTCTTTTTTCTTTTTCTTTCTTTCTTTTTCATTTTCAGACATTTTTTTTCATTTTTCTTTCTCTTTTAATTCTTTTCTCTTTTCTTCATTTCTCAGACATTTTCTTTTTCATTCTTTTCTTTTAATTCTTTTCTTTCTTTTTTCTCAGACATTTTTTTTTTCATTCTTTCTCATTTAATTCTTTTCTTTTTCATTTCTCAGACATTTTATTTTTCATTCTTTTTTTTTAATTCTTTTCTCTTTCTTGGCATTTTCAGACATTTTTATTTTTTCATTTTTTTCATTTATTCTTTCTCTTTCTTCATTTTTTTTCAGACATTTTATTTTTCATTCTTTTCATTTATTTTCTTTCTCTTCCTTTTTCTCAGACATTTTATTTTTCATTCTTTTTCATTTAATTCTTTTCTCTTCCTTCATTTCTCAGACATTTTTTTTTTTCATTCTTTTTCATTTTAATTCTTTTCTTCCTTCATTTCTCAGACATTTTATTTTTTTATTTTTTTTCATTTAATTTTTCTCTTTTTCATTTTTCAGACATTTACTTTTTTCATTCTTTCTCTTTCTTCATTTCTCAGACATTTTCTTTTTCATTCTTTTCTTTTTTCTTTCTCTTTCTTCATTTTTCAGACATTTTCTTTTTTCATTCTTTTTCTTTTAATTCTTTCTTTTCTTCATTTCTCAGACATTTTATTTTTTCATTCTTTTCTTTCTTTTCTTTTTTTTCAGACATTTTTTTTTTTTTTTTTCTCATTTTTTCTTATTCTTTCTTCATTTTTCAGATATTTTCTTTTTTCATTCTTTTCTCATTTAATTCTTTCTCTTTTCTTCATTTCTCAGACATTTTCTTTTTTCTTTCTTTTTAATTTTTTCTTTCTTCATTTTTCAGACATTTTCTTTTTCATTCTTTTCTCTTTTAATTTTTTCTCTTTCTTCATTTTTTCAGACATTTTATTTTTCATTCTTTTTTTTAATTCTTTCTCTTCCTTCATTTCTCAGACATTTTATTTTTCATTTTTTCTTTTAATTTTTCTCTTTCTTCATTTCTCAGACATTTTCTTTTTCATTCTTTTCTTTTAATTTTTCTCTTTCTTTTTCTCAGACATTTTATTTTTTCATTCTTTCTCATTTAATTTTTTTTCTTTTTCATTTTCTCAGACATTTTTATTTTCATTCTTTTCTTTCTTCATTAGTCAGACATTTTTTTTTTCATTTTTTTTTCTTTCTTTTTCTTTCTTCATTTTCAGACATTTTTTTTTCATTTTTCTCTTTTCTTTTTTCTCAGACATTTTTCTTTCATTCTTTCTCTTTTAATTCTTTTCTCTTTCTTCATTTTATCAGACATTTTATTTTTCATTTTTTTCATTTAATTCTTTCTTTCCCTTCATTTTCAGACATTTTATTTTTCATTTTTTCTCTTTTCTTCATTTTTCAGACATTTTCTTTTCATTCTTTTTCTTTTTTAATTCAGAAACATTTTTTCTTTTTTCATTTCTTCAGACATTTTCTTTTTTTCATTTCTTTCTTTTTAATTCTTTCTTTTTCTTCATTTCTCAGACATTTTCTTTTTCATTCTTTCTCTTTTAATTCTTTCCATTCTTCATTTCTCAGACATTTTTTTTTTTCATTCTTTTCTCTTTTTAATTTTTTTTCTTTCTTTTTTCAGACATTTTTTTTTCATTTTTTTTTCTTTTAATTTTTCTTTTCTTCTTTCTCAGACATTTTTTTTTTCATTCTTTTCTTTCTTTTAATTCTTTTCTCTTTTTTCATTTCTCAGACATTTTTTTTTCATTCTTTCTCTTTTAATTCTTTTTCTTTTTCATTTTCAGACATTTTATTTTTTCTTTCTTTTTATTTCTTTCTTTTTTCTTTTTTCTCAGACATTTTTTTTTCATTCTTTTCTCTTTTTAATTCATTTTCTTTTTTTCTTTCTCAGATATTTTTTTTTTTTCTTTCTTTTGCTATTCTTTTCTTTCTTCATTTCTCAGACATTTTCTTTTTCATTCTTTTCTCTTTTAATTCTTTTCTCTTTCTTCATTTTCAGACATTTTTTTTTTCATTCTTTTCTTTTAATTCTTTTCTTTCTTCATTTCTCAGATTTTTATTTTTTCATTCTTTTCTCATTTAATTTTTTTTTTCTTTTCTTCATTTTCAGACATTTTCTTTTTCATTCATTCTTTCTCTTTTAATTCTTTTCTTTCTTCATTTCTCAGACATTTTTCTTTTTTCATTCTTTTCTCTTTTTAATTTTTCTCTTTCTTCATTTCTCATTTTTTTCTTTTTTTTCATTCTTTTTCTTTTTAATTCTTTTCTCTTTCTTCATTTATCAGACATTTTATTTTTCATTCTTTTTCATTTAATTCTTTTCTTTCTTCATTTCTCAGACATTTTCTTTTCATTCTTTCTCTTTTAATTCTTTTGTCTTTCTTCATTTCTCAGACATTTTTTTTTCATTCTTTTTTTTTAATTCTTTTTTTTTTCATTTCTCAGACATTTTCTTTTTTTCATTCTTTTTTTTAATTCTTTCTCTTTCTTCATTTCTCAGACATTTTTATTTTTCATTCTTTCTCATTTAATAATTTTCTGTTTTTTTCATTTCTCAGACATTTTCTTTTCATTCTTTTCTTTTTTAATTCTTTTCTTTCTTCATTTTTCTCAGACATTTTATTTCTTTTTCATTCTTTTTTTTTTTAATTCTTTTTCTTTCTTTCATTTCTCAGACATTTTATTTTTCATTCTTTTTCATTTAATTCTTTTTCTTTCTTCATTTATCAGACATTTTATTTTTCATTTTTTTCATTTTTTAATTCTTTTCTCTCTTTTTCATTTATCAGACATTTTATTTTTTCATTTTTTCTTTTTAATTCTTTCTCTTCCTTCATTTCTCAGACATTTTATTTTTCATTCTTTTTTTCATTTAATTCTTTCTCTTCCTTCATTTCTCAGACATTTTATTCATTTTTTCATTTAATTTTCTCTTTCTTTTTCTCAGACATTTTCTTTTTCATTCTTTTCTCTTTTAATTCTTTCTCTTTCTTCATTTCTCAGACATTTTCTTTTCATTTTTTCTCTTTTAATTTTTTCTTTTTCTTCATTTCTCAGACATTTTATTTTTTCATTCTTTTTCATTTAATTCTTTTCTCTTTCTTCATTTCTCAGACATTTTATTTTCATTCATTTCTTTCTGTTTTCTTCATTTCTCAGACATTTTTATTTTTTTCTTTCTCTTTTAATTCTTTCTCTTTCTATTTCTCAGATATTTTATTTTTTTTCATTCTTTTCTCATTTAATTCTTTCTCTTTCTTCATTTCTCAGACATTTTATTTTTCAATCTTTCTCTTTTAATTCTTTCTCTTTCTTCATTTCTCAGACATTTTATTTTTCATTCTTTCTCTTTTAATTCTTTCTCTTTCTTCATTTCTCAGACATTTTATTTTTCATTCTTTTTTTAATTCTTTTCTCTTTCTTCATTTCTCAGACATTTTCTTTTCATTTTTCTTTTTTTCATTTAATTCTTTTTCTTTCTTCATTTCTCAGACATTTTCTTTTTTCATTCTTTTTCTTTTAATTTTTCTATTTTCTTCATTTCTCAGACATTTTTTTTTTTTCAATTTTTCTTTTAATTCTTTCTCTTTCTTCATTTCTCAGACATTTTTTTTTCATTCTTTTTCTTCTTTTAATTCTTTCTCTTTCTTCATTTCTCAGACTTTTTTTTTTCATTTTTTTTTTCTTTCTTTTTTAATTCTTTCTCTTTCTTCATTTCTCAGATTTTTTTCTTTTTCATTCTTTCTCTTTTAATTCTTTCTCTCTTCTTCATTTCTCAGACATTTTTCTTTTTCATTCTTTTTTTTTTAATTCTTTCTCTTTCTTTCATTTTCTTTTTTCTTTTCATTCTTTTTCTTTTAATTCTTTCTCTTTCTTCATTTCTCAGACATTTTATTTTTCATTCTTTTTCATTTAATTCTTTCTCTTTCTTCATTTCTCAGACATTTTATTTTTCATTCTTTTTCATTTAATTCTTTCTCTTCCTTCATTTCTCAGACATTTTCTTTTTCATTCTTTTTCATTTAATTCTTTCTCTTTCTTCATTTCTCAGACATTTTATTTTTCATTCTTTCTCATTTAATTCTTTCTCTTTCTTCATTTCTCAGACATTTTCTTTTTTTCTTTTCTCATTTAATTTTTCTCTTTCTTCATTTTTCTCAGACATTTTATTTTTTAAATTCTTTTCTTTTAATTCTTTCTCTTTCTTCATTTCTCAGACATTTTATTTTCATTCTTTTCTTTTTAATTCTTTCTCTTTTCTTCATTTTCTCAGACATTTTATTTTTCATTCTTTTTCTTTTAATTCTTTCTCTTTCTTCATTTCTCAGACATTTTTATTTTTCATTCTTTCTCTTTTTAATTCTTTCTCTTTCTTCATTTCTCAGACATTTTATTTTTTTTCATTCATTTTTTCATTTAATTCTTTCTCTTTCTTCATTTCTCAGACATTTTATTTTTTTTCATTCTTTTCATTTCTTTCTTTCTTCATTTCTCAGACATTTTATTTTTCATTCTTTCTCTTTTTTAATTCTTTTCTCTTTCTTCATTTTCTCAGACATTTTTATTTTTCATTCTTTCTCTTTTTCATTCTTTTTATTTTTCTTCATTTCTCTTTTAATTTTTTCTTTTTCATTCTTTCTCATTTTTTCTTTCTTTTCTTTCTTCATTTCTCAGACATTTTCTTTTTCATTCTTTCTCTTTTAATTCTTTCTCTTTCTTCATTTCTCAGACATTTTCTTTTTCATTCTTTCTCTTTTAATTCTTTCTCTTTCTTCATTTCTCAGACATTTTATTTTTCATTCTTTCTTTTTTAATTCTTTCTCTTTCTTCATTTCTCAGACATTTTATTTTTTCATTCTTTTCTTTTTCTTCATTTCTCAGACATTTTCTTTTTCATTCTTTTCTTTTAATTCTTTCTCTTTCTTCATTTCTCTCAGACATTTTCTTTTTTAATTCTTTTCTTTCTTTTTCAGACATTCTTTCATTCTTTTCATTTCATTTCTCAGACATTTTTTCATTTTTTTTTTCTTTCTTTTTTTCATTTCTCATTTCTCATTTTTCATTTTTTTTCTTTTCATTCTCTTTTAATTCTTTTCTTTCTTCATTTTCTCAGACATTTTCTTTTTTTCTTATCTTTTAATTCTTTCTCTTTCTTCATTTTCAGACATTTTCTTTTCATTCTTTCTCATTTAATTCTTTTCTTTTTCATTTTTTTCATTTTCTCAGATTCTTTTCTTTTTTCTTTCTCTTTTTCATTTATTTTTTCATTCTTTCTCTTTCTTCATTTCTCAGACATTTTCTTTTTCATTCTTTTTTCTTTAATTCTTTTCTCTTCCATTTTCATTTCTCAGACATTTTCTTTTCATTTAATTCTTTCTCTTTCTTCATTTATCAGACATTTTATTTTTCATTCTTTTTCATTTAATTCTTTCTCTTCCTTCATTTCTCAGACATTTTATTTTTCATTCTTTTCATTTAATTCTTTCTCTTCCTTCATTTCTCAGACATTTTCTTTTTCATTCTTTCTCTTTCTTCATTTCTCAGACATTTTCTTTTTCATTCTTTCTCTTTTAATTCTTTCTCTTTCTTCATTTCTCAGACATTTTCTTTTTCATTCTTTCTCTTTTAATTCTTTCTCTTTCTTCATTTCTCAGACATTTTATTTTTCATTCTTTCTCATTTAATTCTTTCTCTTTCTTCATTTCTCAGACATTTTCTTTTTCATTCTTTCTTTTTTAATTCTTTCTCTTTCTTCATTTCTCAGACATTTTATTTTTCATTCTTTCTCTTTTAATTCTTTCTCTTTCTTCATTTCTCAGACATTTTATTTTTCATTCTTTTTCATTTAATTCTTTCTCTTTCTTCATTTCTCAGACATTTTCTTTTTCATTCTTTTTCATTTAATTCTTTCTCTTTCTTCATTTCTCAGACATTTTATTTTTCATTCTTTTTCATTTAATTCTTTCTCTTCCTATATTTCTCAGACATTTTATTTTTCATTCTTTTTCATTTAATTCTTTCTCTTTCTTCATTTCTCAGACATTTTATTTTTCATTCTTTTTCATTTAATTCTTTCTCTTTCTTCATTTTTCAGTCATTTTATTTTTCATTCTTTCTTTCTCAAACCATTTCTTTCAGCTTTCAACTTGCTAACATGACTGATGTTACAATCGCAAACTCATAGACAAGACATATGATGCAGCATGCATTAAATAAAACTCCATAATACTTCAATTAACAATACACCATATCAGGTCGTAATCTGTAAGTCAATGTTTTCACAATACATTTGGTAATAACTTAATGCTTAAAGTTTCATGATATATTTATATTTAGAGGATTCATGTATCATGTGAGTTTAGATTTTTGATATCTCTCGTTATTATAAAATAATGATAATATTTTTTTTTCTTGTGTAAGTGGGGTCTTGTGCTGTATTATGCAAATAACCTAAATGCAACATCATTTTTTATTTATAAATGAACAATATCAATTGTACTGTGACAATTTTATGAAGGCAAAAACAAGATTTACAAAAATTAAGTAAACAGAAGTGAATATAGAAAGAAATTTTTTTGAGTTTTTAAAAGAATTAAAAACTCTGTAAAACATTAAGCCTAAATTTTGCAAAGATTTATATTTATTAAAGTTATTAGAGAAAGATGAACTGTGGAATTGAAGTCAGTGAGATCTTGCTGTGAGGGTTTCGTTACCAACACAGACAACTGGAGTTAAAGAATTTATTAAGATATGAAGATATAAAGAAAAATTATTCACAAAAATTTGTCAATGCATTTCACAAATTTTGTTCTTTTTTGTTGTCCGATTATTTTTCTATAAATTATTTTTCTATAAATTATTTTCATATAAATTATTTTCCTATAAATTATTTTTCTATAAATCATCTCCAATTTAACAATCATTTACCTGCTTATACCCAATCCCAAAATGAAAATGGCAAAACATGGAAGAAAAATCATCTTTTTAACCACAATTTAAATAAAAAAAAAAATTGTTTCTGTAGATGGATTGGTAAATAGGATTATACCAATTTGCCTATGTTAAGTAGAAATTGAAAACTAAGAGACAGGCAAGAACTTGATCACATGATCTACTGATCATGTGTCGTAGAACAATACAATGGCTTCCATTGACCCTGCTAATATTAGTGAAATTAAAGTTTTTTTCCCCCCAAATTATAACAAATAATAATTGGGTGTAACATCATGAAGCAAAACTCATCAAGGTAGTCCTACAGGTCATTAATACAGAATAAGTTGGATCTTCACTGGGCGCTCACGCTTGTAGCCTTATGCCAACCTTAGTAAAAAGTGAAAAATCACTAATCATTAACTTAATTACTTCATCATCTTAATATGAAAAGAAAACAGTTTGTTTTAAAGCCATTTATATTCGAACTAAGAGACAAAGCAGAAGGAAGCACTCATGAAATGTCTAATTCTATTAACATTTGTCCAAAACTCTTTTCTCAACTGCTTTCTTTGACTTGAAACAAAGCAAATTGTTGTTGGTCGCATTGAAAATGTAAGTTCTGATTAGTGTTTAAAGCTGTAGGCACTTCAAATAGTGTCTAAAAAAAGGAACGGTCTTTCATGCATTAATTCTTCAGGAGAGCAAAAGAATGTGCCAATGATTTGCAGAATGCTGCAACTTGAAACTGTTAGTTGCCAAAATGAATAAATTTAGGACAAATGGATTTGCCATTACACTATATAAATGACCTTTTGAAATTATGTTATGCATGACTTAGTTGAAAAGTTTTCTGAATGAAACTAATTCTTTCTTAATCAATGTTGATTTCTTACCAAGTCAAAGAAAAAGGAGTGGATGGTGGTGGCGGTGGCAAATATTAGGGGACAATCAGCCTGGAAATAAGTAGAACAACTGCATCCATTTGGATGTGGGTGGGAGAATAGTGTAGAGACAAGGATGAAAAAGGCAAAAGATGAAGGATCGTGAGAAAGGAGAAGACAAAGTAGGGGAAGAGATATAAAAGATGAGGACAGAGCTGGTGTGCAGAAGGAAAATAAAAGAGAAAGAAAAACAACAAAAAAATTTGAAGAAAAAAAAGAAACAGAAGAAGAAGGAGATTAAAAAAAAAAAAGTCTGAAGAAAACAATTGAGAAAATGATTTCTTTTAATATTTCCTTGAATTAAATGGAAAGAAAAAATGATTTTTTTAAACTAACAGAATAAAGCAAAGGAAAATGTCTAGTTTCTTAACCTAACTGCCCATCTTCCCACTAAGGTAGAATATGACACATAATCATTTTTTTTTTTATGTGGGGAGCCCATATGCATACACATGGGCCAAGAACAAAAATTGCCCAGTGCCTACAACCATTGTCAAACTGGTGTCGATATCACCCTGACTCTATCTGACTTAGTACAATGAGGAAGTTATTGTTGAAGGTTTGGTATCCCTCTGACCACATACCTTTTTCCCCACCTAAAAGGAGAACAGATACTATGCATTGATCCTAGCCTGAAGATGACTAAAGAACATGAGATTAGAACGAGATTCAAGCAAAAAAGATTTTATTAGTAATTATTATTTCACTAAAGGAATGTTCTCACCAATAGAAACTGGAAACAATGAGAAAATAAAGATTAAAAAACAGCAAAAGTCATTACAACAATTCAATTACTTAAAAATAAAAGGCACTGTCTTTGGAAGTATGCAATAATAAATATATTTAACATGTCACTATTACAAATTGGAGATACAAAAATCTAACAAGTACAACAATTTAAATATCTTGCAAGTGATTTGTTAGTTCCAATCCTGCTTGGAAAGACTGAAAAAACATCCCCCCTCCCCAAATTTATAGGCAAATTGTACAGATGCATGCTGGGATTTCTTCCTAACCAATAAAAATGAACCACTTCTCAGTTTAATCTGCCACATTGTTCTTTCTTGTCTTGATGTCAGAATGTTATAATCACTTGACTGTATCCCTTTTGCATGTTAACACCATTCTTTCTTTGTGAACCTTTTGCCTTATTAATGTTTTGTCTTGCATATATATATATTGTTGGTTTTGTATTATTTTGCCCTGTTCTTTTTCTTATTGTCTATTGGAAACTTTGTCAATTCTATTTATTGAGCATTATTGTCAATAACATTTAAACATGGCCAATTACTTTACATGGAAAGTGAATCCTTAACTCTGCTTATTTATATAAATGGACAATTCCATTCATTTATGTCCTATATGACAATAACTTAGTGAACATGTGTAAATGGTTAGCAGAACATGGATTAGAAGAGATAACAAAAAGACAAAATTTATTAAGAGCTACAAAAGACAGGAAATTGTGGAGAGCCATGATCACCAACGTCCTAGAAGGGATATGGCATATAAAAGAAGATTATGTCACTGCTATCAAAAATATTTCTGTTATAATATTTACTTCTCATGACTCTAGACGTTACTTCTGTGGATACATATGCTTGAGTAGAGCCCCTGTAGCTTTACTTATCTTAAATTTCATCTACTGGCCTGGGTATTTGAGAGATTTAATAAAGAAAAATGTGCCATTTGGCATGGTTTGAACATGTGTCCAATTTTGTAGGGGGAAACTAGCATCTGTTCTGGTGTGCTGTGGCTGTATGTGCATAATATATATATATATATATATATATATATATATATATATATATATATATAGAGAGAGAGAGAGAGAGAGAGAGAGAGAGAGTCACCATTGGGAAGGTGTCTGAAAACCATACCACCAGTTCAGCCAAACCTTGTGTGTTAAATTGTGTTGTCAGAAGAAATGCCATCCCTACATATATAAGGGCCAGCTACTTGTTTCTGACTAAACAAGTCTGCTAGGGTGGTTAGCCAATCCCTGCTTCAGGCACCAGCTCAGGCACATTTTGTGTTTGTTTAACACACACAAAGACCACCTGTGGTTTATACTACAATTATTCTGAGATTGCCTTACTTAAAGTGCGCATAATCTGGCAAGGTCAACAGTTTGAACAAAGTCCAGCATGTTCAAACCCTCTGTCATGATGACTTTTGACTTCTTACCAGCACAGCCATTGACAGATTCCAAACAGTTTTGTTGACCCAAGTTTCACTCAAAGGTGTGGATTGAACCGTAGAGTATGGTTTTGAGACACTTTCCAATGGTGCCGCCACAAGCTGACACTGCCTGCCCAGCCCAATAACATCAAGAAGTCACCTCCTTGACAATTTGACCATGGTGAGGGTTGAACCCAGGTCTCATGGCCAGAAAACAAATGTTTTGACCCCATAAATACACATAAATGTATACCTATATATACAGATGTATACATGCATATACACATATGTATATACCATACACATACCTATATCATCTTCATCCTAAAGGCTTATCTTCACAAATAAAGATTCAGGAATGTTTGTTGGAGTTGTAAACTCTCATGTGGTTCATGTTGTTCATTTTGATCAAATGGGAGTGGCACATTTTTTCCACATTGACTGCGGGGGGAGTGGGTGTCAGTGGCAACTTTTTTTCTGCTGTATGCATCTGTAATGGAGGTTGCTTCATAGATCCTGCATTTCTATATCCTCCTGTTAACTTGTTGCACAAATCATAGCAGATGAGGGCTCCTTTTCAAGGAGTCCTTGTATTTCTTCAATGGGGACTTACTGCTCTGTCATCTAGT